CCTCATTTGGGAATTGAAAATTGTTCCGCTGTGCATATTAAGTAAATTCCCAACATCTTGGAAGACGATCTGGCTACTGGTTAGACCATTTGTATGTTCAATTTTCTTCCTACCCATTATTGCATACTACTGCCTTCGTGCTTGGCTGTCTCTACGTGATTCTTGGGTTGTTTCTTCATGGTTTTGAGTGGGATTCTTGGTTCCTTCTTGTGGAACTGCTTTGTGAGTTTTTGGGTCATTGATTTGAGCTCTGTCCAATCCACTTCTTGTGCCAATTTTTGTGATATCGATAGGAAAATGTTTATTATTCATTTACAGTTTGATTCCATTGTTATTAATTGATTTGAAACTTACTTCGTATTGATTTGATTAATTGAATTACTTCGTATTGATTTGATTAATTGAACATTGTATTTAACTCCACATAGGGGCCTCTGTTTGGCACGATTCCCAAGTCCTATGGGCCGAAAGCTTCTTGATATTTTAAAATTGCAAAATTTTTGTCAAAAAATGCACCTAATGGAAATTGTTTGTAAGGGGGATGAAACTTGGATATCGGACAATGCACGAGATTTCTCAAAGCTAATCAAACATTTCAGGCACACATTTAAACAAAAGCTGAGGTTGCAAACCTCTATAAAGTTAATGCATGTTTTAACTACAAACATATAGCCCCATGCCTTGAATTCGATAAACCCCCAAAGAAAATAATCTAACAACTTCTAATCTGAAACTAAGTAACACTGTTACTGTGCTTTCTTCTTCTATTATACCGAAGATCCATGATCCCTCAGAACCATCTATTCTTTCACCGTCCATCAAAGTTATTAATTACCTGACAAATAGTAAATTGCGAGGAATGAGTATACTTGAACAGTGTGAGATACCAGCAATTCCGTACACGCAAAAGATAAGAAATATTGGTTGGACGCTCATATCGTACTTTTGTATTTAGATAAGTCTAATAACCAGGAAACAACTCTATGCAAGTCTACTAAATTTTCATAAACCGAAGGTTAATATTAAATTCTTGAACTGATGGACCACCTCATGGTTTATCTTGAAGGTCTTCAAAATTAAATTGTCCCACAGGATCTTACTAATCATTTCTTCAGTAAAATAACTTTCAAGAATGATATGGATTACCACTTTTCATATATTACCTGACAAACTTTAGTATCCATACTTGAACGTGATAAGATTTGGAGTTCCATCTTAAAATGTTAACTTTATTAAGAAGAGTAACACAAACTTTTATAAATTGGTCTATGTTTACATTTTTATTCGATGTGGGATTCTATCCCTTAACATGCTCCCGCAAGATGATGACTCGTTTGAGCAGATCAATCTTGAAATCCGTATGCTCACTTTTTGAAATCTTAATCGGATCGAATTACTCGTTAGAGTTTAATGGACTCTGATACCATGTTAAGATTTGGAGTTCCATTTTAAAATGTTAATCTTATTAAGAGGAGTAACACAAATCTTTATAAATTGGTCTATGTTTACTTCTTTATTTGATGTGGGATTCTATCCCTTAATAGAAAGAAGCCCCAAAAACTGTTGAAAAATATTTACAATAATTTTAAGTTTAGTCCCTGAGCATTCTAGAATTTTCTAGTGTCCCAATTTACTTTCCACAAATAAAATTGTAGATGAAATTATTTACTCTCTAATAATGTTTTCTTGGGTTATGTAATTGTTTTGTTATTTAACACTCAGGTCCCTAATAAAACTGAAAAAGTTGTTAACAGACCTAAATGTTTATTCAACAAGAATCTACACCCCGTATCATATTCTATAAAATTTTGGGATATTGCACAAAAGAAGTTTACGGAAAAACGCTCACCATTATCTTTATCATTTCCTTTATTTCTGCTCGTCGAGGCAAACATTCTTAAATGTGGATCGACATGCAGACCAATTGTTTCATACTTTCGATCATACAATGAATATCTAGAACAATCATATCATTTAAGTTAATGAGATAACAATTAAGTAGATATATTCAAAAGTAGATTAAAATTGTAAATTTGAAATGTTATATTACCTATGACATTGATCATTCCCAACTTGTGAAAGGTACCAGCTTGAGCGGTGAGGAGCATTATCGTCTTGCCAAATTATTTTCCTCTTCAATTCAATCATAGCCATGAAAAGGAAATAACTCATAGAAAAGTTTTACAAGTAAAAGAAGTAAATAGAACTAATTGTGGGTAATAGCCATAACTCATAATAGCCATAACTATATACTTCTGTTTATCATTTTAGTTTACAAAATGTACTGCCAAGAAAATATGATTCACACCTTTTGTCGTGACATAAGAGGATAACTAGAGTAAGAACTTCCACCATCGAGATTAAAGCCACTTGATCCACTTGCAAGATTTGGATTGCCTTGAATCCCCAGTGACCTAAAATAATATCAAAGTTTAACTAATCATAACAATTCAATAAAAAAGGTCTAACATATATAATTATATAATGTCATGTATCAATTTGTGTTTGAGCATCACTACTTAAAAGTTTCTCGTAAATTGTGGACGAGATTGGAGTCTTAGGGTTAGCATATAGATTTTTTGGTTCCCGATTTAGGGGTCGTACGTACAAGTGTGGTCAATTTGTTGCCTAAACAAATGCGTTACTTTCCCTTTCCATATTAACAAGAATTTTATGAGTACATTAAATATTTACATTAACCATAATATTATTTTGAACAAAATATCAAGCAAATTACCTCATTGGGTTTGAAATTTCGTATGCATCTGCAGCATATGACCAATGAACTTGCTGAGTGCTAGCCTTCTCTATTGGTAGATCACCTAAGTCCCCAAATGGAATCTGTCATAATCACTCAATCTTTAATAAACTGTCATATACAACAAGACAAGAGTAACAAAATTTTAAATGATGTGTATCAACAGTCGTCAACCATGAATGTTAACCATGCGTGATACTCGTCTACTGCACAATTACTGCATGTTTGGTATGCATAAGACAATAATGGACATGATCAAAGAAGGAAAAGTCAAGTTTTCTTCAATTTTCATGTGTAGCATTGTCCAATTTTGATACCAAAGATGCCCTTAAAGTTTTCCTATATCCAGTGTACATGGGAACTAATCAAAGGCCTCAAGGTGTTTGTCCTTACAGAGACTTGTGGATGCGAATGCTTCCCTGAAAATCTTGAAGATGATTGTAAATGAAACTCAGGAGGCAAAGTTGACAAGGGCAGATGATATTTGTTGAGCGTCTCATTAGGGTTGTATGCGTTTCTGGCAAATTGTTCCATACGCAACAGCATATTGTCGTTGTAAGGTACTCGAGCTGCTTGAGGTCTTGATGAAGAAAGAAGAAAAAATATTTGATTAATGTAACTGGTATAATGATATGAAAACTGGGGTTTATTCATATGCAAATCAGGGTTTTGCAACTATTTTTATGGAACCAAAAGGAAACAGCAACTAGCATTAATAAAAGCTGCGTACAACCTGTGAAATAAACTCTTATGGACTGCAGATCGATTTTTGGCTAATCCAAATCTTTTTACTATTAATTCTCCTTAGATCATAAATAAAAGAACCTATATGCCCTTGCATGTGTTTGTTCTTCGAACATATAAATAATTAAGTCATACACTTATTGAGAAGAGTGTGCAGCATCAAATGGTGAGATGCCGAGATATGCACTTCCCAATAGCAATTCCTGTGGGCTTTGTACATATTAAACAAGTTAGCAACAATAGTTGATACAAACAAGAAAGCAGTAAATTAGCAATTGTAATGTTTTCTTTGAAAGTCAAATTCCTGGTGCATATGAAATTAACCTTAGTTTACAGAGAAACCTGAGTTTCCTTATAAAAACTGAAAGGAAATGGCACAATGATGCAATTGCCCTTGGGCCTGATGAGTCTGGCCCAGCTGGTTTATATTATTAAGCCCAGCCTGTGTTTTTTCTTCAAATGGACAGAAAGCGTGATTTAGAAGAACTAAAAGTCGTGTTTCACTTACCTTAAGAATTAGATGGCTGTGATGTCGCCACGTGTTGCCTCCAACTCCGTTGGATTGGAAACTGTTAGGTGACTCTTTTAAAAGCTATTTTCTAGGGTTTGAAGGCTCAGANGAAACCTGAGTTTCCTTATAAAAACATACTTGGATTAAAAGCAAACAGGAGTTTCCAGCGGATATTATGGAAAATGAAAATGCATCATTATAAAAGTTATACGAGTGTTCCAACCTGAAGTTCATATCTTTGCTAGCAGAGAATTCTTCAGTCAACGGGCACAACTCCGGACTGGGATTAGTGTCTTGCAAATGATGGATAATTGAATAAGGCTGTTCTCTTCCTTCTTGACGCTCCATTTGTTTCTAATGTGTGATATAACATATATAAAACTCAATATATCATCATAAATTGTCTTCAGTTCAAGATTTTAAAGATATAATTTCATGGATGAAACAATTGTGTAACGACTCTAAAGGATAATATGTTCTCACGATAAATCAAAGTGCGGTATGGGTGAAAAATTCTCAAAAAATGTAGATATTTCTTCTCACATCAAGTGAAAAAAATAAAATTACAACAAATTCAATACCAATAAAATTAAACATGATGGTATACTCGATCAAAATGGGAATTTAATGCAATGGTGATTTTAATGGAAGAGATGAAACTGACCTTTCCAATTATTGAATGCTAATTTGTCAATGATATATTAAATAAACATGTACGAATTTCCCAATGTATGAAGTTCTTCTAAAATCAAAAGAAAACAAATCAAAATGATGACATATCCCAACAAAAATAAGACATTGAACATGATGTTACTCGATCCACAGATTGTGGTTTTAGACAAGTTGAAAAATCGAACTTTCCAGTAATTGAATTTATAAGTGGTCGATTATGGTGCATAAATTTAAAATCAATGCTAAAAAAATTAAACCAATAGATGTGTAAATAATTCAATACCTTTGGTACAAATCTTGTCAACTGCAAAAATAACTCAGCAAAAAAAACAATTAGACTGGATTTTTCTTTCTCAATAATTTTGGGTGAAACTGATTTGGTTTAGAAGGATATTAGGTTTATTTGGTAGAGAAATAATAATGCTCAAAATTTAATAAATTTCTCTCATGATTCTTGAGTGGTATGAGCTGTCCTTTATGTAAGTTTGTGTACTTAACAAATTATTTATGACAATTTTGAAATTCAAATTGCTAATAAGGATAAATATTGACACCTTCAACTAATTACCTTGTGTCATTCATTAGATGAATGCGGGCATTCAAAACAAGTCTCACATGTAACCTAAACATTTACACTACACCAAAATCTGCTTTTTGCAACGGTCAAAAAAGTTGTCATAGACATTTTACAACGTTCAGACGCATATTGCAGGCTTCGATATTGTTATAGAGTAGAAGGATATGACAACGTTCAAATACCATTGCAATAAAAACATTGTTGTAAGTTTTTTTGCAAAGTTGTGTTAAGGTTTTTGCAACATTCATTGAATGCCGTGTTATGGTTTTTTGCAACATTCAATTACTGGTGAGTTATGTTTTTTGCAACGGCCATTGACTGTAGTGTTAAGGTTTTTTTTGCAATGTTCAACAAATGTTGTGTTAAGGTTTTTTGCAACATTCAACGAGTGTTGTGTTAAGGTTTTTTGCAACGTTATTTGATTGTTGTTGTTATACTTTTTGCAACATTTTTTGCCGTATTTGCAACTATTTTGAATGTTAGTCTTTTCTTTTGTATTCAAATATTGGCCAACACTTTTAGCCCCTTTTTGTTTCATTTTTTCTTAATTTTTTTTTTCAACGTTCTCTCATTGTTGTCTTTTCTTATCCTCTTTTCGACAACACTTTTCGACTGTTATGATTTTTGCCTCATTGACTAACAAAATTAAAGATAAACAACATCAACTTACATACAAGTGTTTTAAGACAACATGAAATTAAAAGTGTCGCGGAAGCGTGCTCCAAGGTCGTCAAAACAGTGTTTTTCGGGCTCAATTTCACGTTACATTTATCTACCAAACAACCAATTCAAACGACTCCAATCCACAACCAATAAATTCATTTCAATTGCTCCTCAATCTCACTCACAAATGACAAGATAATAGTGATGATTTGTAGCCATAAAGGCAAGATGAAAAACAACGGAAGAAGGCAAGCAACGGGACCAAAATACCAAGGAAGCCACATGTTTTTCTCTCTTTAAAGGGGTTGGTAGTTTGTCTCCTCTATTGTACATGGTTTCTTTCTTCTTTTCTTTCAAATCAAACATTAAACGGCTAAGGCAAAAACACCATATATATATAGGCTAGGTTAGGCTTTAGTTAGACCAATAAAAAGGGTTAAATAGGCCAAGATTCAAAGTCCTCAAATATGTAATATAAATGGGCAATGAGCAACATTAATTATTTAAGTTACTTCCAACAACCCACGTTGTTTTTGGGTTGAGCCTTTAAACTTGGTTGTTGGTAACAATTTAATCAAACGTTTAAATCATCACCGGGATTCATTAGGTATCAAAATCCAACAAATCTCTACCTTGATACTCAATCAATCTGCAAACAATCAAAACACAAAGTTAATGATTGCATAATCAAGACAACCAATAAAATTAGAATCACAAATCTTACCTCGTGTTTCAGACCCGAAACACATACCATACCTGCTCCATGTACTTACCAGGGCTAAGTTCACAAACAAATACCCAAGTAGAAGTAGATAATCACAGTAATCAATCAAGAACATATAATCATACGATGGAGATATAACCTAGGATAATCCACATATATTTTCCAAAATAGTTCACACAGAACAACAGATTAACACCAAGTTAATCAAGCTAACGGTCAAAACACATATGCAACAAATGCATAAATGATCACATGAAAAGATCTCACTACACTTATCATATTCCATTTCATGTTGCTCACACCTCAAGAACACAAATCTCCCTTCATCGCCTAGCATGCTCACTAGATTAATCACTTAACTCATGTCTACCTGGTAGACATCTATAGATCATAAGTCATCGGGATAATCTTCTATCACTACATCACTCTCCCAACCTAAGTGGATAATGGGGTCTTCACCTAAAAGAAGTGGTAGAAGTGCATCTCTCACACTCCATGTGATCAGAATTTCTTCACAGATAAAGGATTCCAACATTTAATCATCTCTCCATTCGTGATCCAAATGTCACATTCCACATCCCCAGTACAAACTACCAATGTACCCTAGACATCTATACTCCATCTCACCAATAGACATACAACACATTGCTAATGCATCTTAACTCATTATACATGCAAACAATTGCACCAAGTAATTAAATTGCTCTCAAATTCATGTAAATACACATATCAAACACATTGAAATGTGCATATAGCCATGCAACATAATTAAGCAATCACGTACATGCAGAAATGATTACACACGGATGTACAAGCAGTAACTGGGTTTACTCTCAATAAACTTCACTAGGGTCATCACTCGACCCTATATTCACATTCTCCTCGTCTCTCATCTTACCGTTTTGCTTATCCTTTTTTCTTGGGACAATCCCACACAAAGTGACCAGACTTATCATAGTTGTAATACCGCTTATCACCGGACTTGTCCCATCTCTTGCCCTTCTTCTTATCACCCTCATCACTCGAGTCACTACTGTTTTGAGCTCTACCCAAATTCATTTATTTAAACTTCATTCTACTCCTCATTATATGTAACTCACCCCTCTTCTTATTATCTTTTTCAGCATTAATATCCATCTCCTTATTCATAAGGAAACCTATGATAATCTCGAGTGTTAAGGTGTCCTTACCATACTTAATTGCTTTTTTGGAGTTTGATCTAAAATATTTTATCAGGTTATCGTGTTGATTCAACCTCCGAGCTCAAACACTTTGTTGGCTCGTGTCTCAAGGAGTGACTCTTCTTACACGTAGTTTGATTTCTACTTACGTGGAAATGAGCGGGGCTTGAGATTCTGTTGGCCCTTTTCTGGAGGTCAACAACATATATACACAGTATTTTTTTTATAAGATTATAGCTCTTTCGTGTTTCAACAATAACATAATATATTTCATGAGTAACGATGAGGGAACGTATGTCTTGTATTGAACGTGAATCACTCCAAATCGACATCGTGGTATAGGGGTTAATTAGGAACTTAATTTGTAACAACCTAGATGGTGAATGGGGTGGGGATTGATGTGAAGTCTATATCAAGGGTATTAGCTGGCTTCTATTTGAGCATTTGGGATTCGGGAAGTAGAGTGTGTTATCTTTATGTTTCTTGAACTTTTCCTTTTGTTTTTTTCTTTGGGATCTGGCTTTTTTTGTTTTTATTTATTTCATCAAGAAATTTGTGGTCTAAAATGGACCACTAAGTTCTAGTTTTATTTCTGAAATATTATTTATATTGATTAATTTGAAACTAAGTAATTATAAAGTTGCTTATAGTTTACTTTGTTTAATCATGGGAAACAACCTTGTCCTGTTTAAAAAATGTTAGAAGTATCGACATCGAGGACATTTCTGTTAAACGTGTGATACATGGAGAGAAGATTTAAAATTCACATTTGAAAATACAAAAGACTGTGGGCCGCGTGTGATGGAAGTAACGAAAATTTCAAGAAAATCAACAAAAAAAAGTAAAAAATATTATATAAAATTAAGTGTCATTTTTTTTTTTATTAAAAAGTGATCCAATGTCACTTTTTAAAATTAAATGTCACTTTTTTATT